ATGGTGGCGCATGCCTGTAGTCCCAGCTACTCGGGAGGCTGAGGCAGGAGGATCGCTTGAGCCCAGGAGTTTGAGGTTGCTGTGAGCTAAGACGACGCCACAGCACTCTAGCCCAGGCAACACAGTGAGACTCTGTCTCAAAAAAAAAAAAGTATTACAATGGCATATTTTTCTCATAAATATAAGAATCAAAACTAGAAATTATATCAAAGCCTAAGGTAATATTCCCTAATGTCACAGAAAAGGGTTCATGGCATAAGAAGTCATTAACCACTAAAAGTAATGTCAAATGTACCATAAAGCAATGTTTTACAAACTATAGATCATAATTCTCAAGTAGGTCATGAAATCAATTTAGAAGGTTGCACCTAATTTTTTTTTTTTTTCCTTAGAGAAACATATTAATTCAGAATATAGCAAAATGGAAGATATCAGAGTAAGGGTGAATATGTATGTGTATATGTGGTTGTACCATCTCCCAGTGTAAAATATGTTTCTTACTTGGGTTGTCCTCAAAAAAGTTTGAACGCCATTGGCATTAAAGCATAAAAGAGACACAATGGAGCCTTGGGCATCGGGGTCAGATTAAGGTTGACCTAGATTTTTGGGGAATTGGGGGTAGAATGGTAAGGAAACACCCCTCCCCTCCACCAAAGTACCCATTGGAGATGGGGGCTGTGACTGGGTAGGGCAGGATGCCAGCAGACACTGTGGTTGCTCCTGAACACGTGCTGTAAAAGTGGCTCTTCCTAAAAACAGAGACTCATGGAGACATGGGAGAGGATGCATCGTGGAGTACACATTTGAAATGTCAGAGGTCAACCCTGAGACTCATAGGCAAGGTCATGAAAGAATAGCACTTTCCATTGTCCTTATTCTCCCACCAGCCAACTCCGTAAGCCCTTCCATTCTGCTCTCCCCTCCACCTTTCACCTCCCCCAGCCGCACCCCCGCATCAAGACTAGGCCTTGGATATCCTTGGGAGTGGCGCTGTCTAGTGCAGAAGCCACAAGCCCCACGTGGCTACAGAGCACTTGTGATGTAGCTGGTGCAAAGCGAGATGTGCTGTAAATGTAAAATGTACACCAGGTTTAGAAGAATAATTTCTCAACATTGATTGCTTTAAAATGATAGCATTTTGAGCATATTAAGTAAAACGTGTTATTAAATTTATTTCTCCTGTTTCGTTTTTTACTTTTCTAAAATTACATTTGTGACTTATATTTGTGGCTTCAATTCGATTTCCATTAGCAGCTCTGTTTGGGCTTTCCTTACACTGCCTCTAAAGTGCCTCTTCAGAGAGCTATTTCATAATCATTCTGTAACCTCTGCTTTCCAAATCTTCCTACTTGCTCCCCAATTTTTGAAATTCCTTTAAGAAAGGATATCATTTTTTTTTTACTTAGTGATGAAATTTAAATGCACAGTTTGAGTTAATGCTTTAGTGGGAATAGGTTTTTTCTCAGTAATATGTCCATCAGTCAAGTTAATAACTGTTAGAATCTCCCCTGGTTGTTTGGGTAAAGGCAAGGGGAAGTGGGCTGCAAATTTCCCAAGGTTTGGGGGTTGCGATGGTGGCACCAAAAGGGGCTAACATGACAAGACATTTGTTCCTACCATTAATTTCACTCAGGCTGCTGCCTGGGGACAGCTCTGCTATGGAAGGTTCCTGGCTTTAGAAGAAAGAAAAAGTCTGATTTCAGATTTTGCTTTTGTTCTGTAGGGATTTGATAATTGTAGTATTTCTATAATTGGGTTTTTTTTCCTCCTTCTGAGCTAAATTTGGCTCTCAGTTTGGATTTCCCAGTTTTTCCCCCATTTAATTTCTTGACTCTCAGGATCCCAACAAATTTAAAACTGTGCAGCCTTTTAGATTCCAATCATAGCATGCAGTGAAGGATGTGTAGAGCCGATTGCTTGTTTCCTCCGAGGCCCCGTGCTCTCAGGGGTCTGCCTCCTGTCACACTGTTCTCGTGGCCTTCCCCCCTCAGGTCGCAGTACTCTGGCCCCCCAGGGTGATCGTGGGTCCCATTGCTTTTTAAAGACTCCATATCTCAGACTTGACAGTTAGGATTGAGTAAAGGAAAATATTAGTGTCATACTTCCTGGGGTTCTGGTTTTTGAAAGCAAAATAACTCTAGAGCCCAAAGATTGAAAGATGGTTTGAAACGAGATGAAGTTTTGGATCCATTTTAAGTGTTAATGAGAATCAGTGTGATTCCACCAACGAGAGAAAGCGATATTCATTATCCTCCCCACGACCTCTTCCCCCAATAGGAGTTGTTCGGAAACCTACCGCATGCCAGTGATGGAGTACAAAATGAATGAAGGCGTTTCATACGAATTCAAGTTTCCCTTCCGAAATAATAACAAATGGCAGAGGAATGCCAACAAGGGACCTCATTCACCTCAAGTCCCATCCCAGGTGCAGAGTCCCATGACCTCGCGGCTGAATGCTGGGAAAGGGGACGGGAAGATGCCTCCTCCAGAAAGAGCCGCCAACATTCCTCGAAGCATCTCCAGTGACGGGCGCCCCCTAGAGAGGCGGTAAGTGTGCCTTCAGAGATTTGCTCTGTATCTCTGCCCCGCATTTAAATAACGCCAGATGCGTAGGCACTGGCTTTAGGTCTTCTCATCTTTTACTATAAATCAAGGATTAAAACTGAGATGCACACCCTAGTGGCTTTCAAAGCATAGTAGCATTTCAAAGGCATGAGGATAAACAAAGATACATTCCAGCAAAGCATTCGGCTCTGCTCACTTGTATTTGTGCTTTTGCTCTTTAATTGCCGTGTGATTATCAACAGAAATCGTCACTGTGTACTTAGTGGCCATATGGATTAGGACTTAGCAGACTCCGAGGTGACAGTGACCATATTATCATCTTTGGCAGTCTTCGTTGTTTTGAGACAAATGATATGATAGGAGCAACAGAATGCAAGTGTCTGGTTGAATATCTGTGTTTGTGTCACTTTATTAATAAAGAATAGTGAGAAAGAGAAACTATA